AACCATCTGGTTGTTATCTCAATGCAATACTCTGGATCCTGTAAACAAAAGCTAAGGAAAGTAAGACATTGGTGAAGTAAATCACTGTTCTTCACATGATGCAGTTGATCTGAGTCAACAAAATCCAGAAAGGTAGGGCAATTCTTTTTAGTAATAAATCAAAACTAATTTCATTAAAAGACAGGAGAAGCATTGAGTTTTGCAGAGGATTCATGTCAGATTATTTTGCAACAGCATGAGAGGGAATATCCTATTATTTATGTCAGGTACCATAAGATAAGGAATAATTCACATCATGCCTTATTCTGATATAGCATAAGAGGGAAAGGTCATTCTATGTTCTGTAACATGTTCGTTTTGGCAATATGTTTACTTCAAATAACAGAAGAGGATGAGAAAATGGAGGGAGAATCATAGCATCCAATATAAGTTCAAGTTATCGTGTAAAAGCCAGGGCATACATCTTCACACTCATCTTCAGTTTCTTCTGCTGTGTCATCACTATCTTCAATTGCCTGTGCTTCTGGACCACATAAAGTTTGAAACTTGCCATTGTCGCCGTCCTTTGTGGCCTGGATTAACCCGTCCATCAATTCAGGCTCTACCTCTCGGAGCAGTCTTCCTGAAATGGAGATGAAAGACATCAAAATCTGTCCATTATACTAACTATCATTACAGATTTCTATGTGATCAGACAAAAATAATGTCCAGTTTACTGAACAAAGAATTACTAAAACTATGCACAACAGCGAGCAGATTGAACAACATTTTTACCAGTTTGTTGTTATATACAGGAGGAAGGAGGAAAATCAATAAACAAACAGCAAAAACATGGTCATAAACTAATACAAGAATTGTTTCACTTCCTTTCTCTCTTCCCCTTTTCCTACTCAAAACGTGTAATCCTTCAATGATCCCCTGTTGTTTGTCAACAAGATTACATCCTATCTCTCATAAGAATGATGATATAACTTCTTTAAACTTGTCCCTACTTATTCAGTTCTCACTATCATTGAAACTTGTGACTTCCCTGCAGACAATATCAGGAATTCGAATCCAAATATGATGCTAGAGCTTTCCCTCACGAGGCACAAAGACTTTCCTTCACTGGAGATGCAAAATGTCAACGAGCCTTTCAATTCAGGACAACTAAGAGAAAAGATGCAAAGATCCACACATTGCCCTGCATGGCAACTAACTAGTGACCAAGTGACCAAACTTTTCTCCTCTATAATCAAACATTGCATGCCAACATTGCCTACATATCCGAATTAGTTGATATCAATGAACAACGAAATGATTGCTTTCCTCTTCCTAGTCTTACCCTTCAAACTCCACCGTACCATCGGTTCACAACCGTTACATACTACTATATATAATACCTTCCTACATACATTTCGGATAGTGAGAATTAAAAATGTAAAATATTCATAGGGGAAAAGTATCGAGCTAGAAATTCAAGCCGCATACCTATATAATTGAACTGTCTTCGCTTTCCTTCTCGAACATCGCGACCAAGCCTCTGCGACAATTTCACAAAAACACCCTACTCACTCACCACCTCAACCAGAGCACCGCAATAACTTGTAAATTTTTTGCAACAAACAAAACTAAACTAATCAAGAGAACACTGAGTAGTGATTATACTACCTTAACTAGCATGAGAGCATCGTAAACTTCACGCTCAAGAGAGGCCACTCTGCACTCAAAACACCAAACAAGCAATTCATCTTCAAATACTCAACTAGCAGCAATCACCAGATCATTTTGATGAGAAATTTCTGAGAGTATCAAAAAGGAGAGTGAGAGTAATAATGGAAATGCACCTGAGAATGCGCTTGATTTGAGGTGGAGAGAAGTTAGCGAGCTCCATCCCCCAGCGGACGGCGCGCTTAGCCTCGCGCTTCTTCTCATTGCGGCTCTTCTTGGCGGAACCGTCGTCGGAAGAGTCGCTGTCGCTCTCAGTGGTATCGGACGGCAAGGGAAGTTGACGCAATTTGAGAGCGCGTGTACGGAAGTGGAGGTTGCGAGCAGAGACCAGGGGGGAGGAATTGATGAGTAAGAGTTGGTGGGGGAATTTGGCGGTGGTTTCTGCGGAAGGGAGGGAGCAGGAGGTAAGGAAATAATAGAATGCTCCGGCGGAGCAGTGGCATTGGTGATGTAATCTGGGCAACCGCGCCAGAGGCCTTAAAACATGCGCCATTGCTGCTGAGTTAGAGCCTAGAGTTGGAGCGACTGACCCACTCGTCGCTGGTTGCTCGAAATTCAGATTTCAGAAGAAGGTGCTGCTACGCCCAAATCAAATGGGTTTGCAATCATCATTATGGGCTCATATTGTTTTCTGTCCATTAAGTTGGATTTGGGCCTCAAATGATTATATGAACTTGAAAATGTAATGGACCAACATCACGATGCATTCATACATACCATACTGGCCTACCTTTCCTGTTGCCTATTGGGAACAGACAATTGGAAGCCCATGTCTTGAGCCTTTTTAATTTTTTTTTCCTTTTCTTTTTGTGTTTCTAAAAAAGTAGCGCTATAAAAATACAGATTCAGAATATGCTGTCGAAAATGAAAAGAAAATGTTCGTGCTAGCTTTGCGTTCACATATAGTTTCCCATTTAGCAATGCACTGGGAATTTGAACCTGCATTTGAAATCAGTTGGGCAACTTTAATTTTTTTTTTTTTTTTTTGTCGACACGGGGGTGTTCGGGTCAATCCTTACGGGGCCTGACTAATCCTCTGCGGCCCGGGAAAGGAGACCCCACTCCACACCGAACACATTAACAGCGGAACTTAAACCCTAGACAAGCCAGGAAGGTCGCCATACTCTAAGGAGGGGGAGCGGACCGCTCGAGCTACCCCGCGGGGATACTTGGCATAAATTTTTTTTTTTTTATATCCAAAGGAGAGGCAAAGGCCCCTTAACGCGGTACTAAACGTGGGATCGTGACCCCAATCACATCGGCTCCTAAGAGCTGCTCGTGTCCTGGTGGTGGTTCCTCTAACAGTCCATCATATGATAGCTGTGATTGAGATGGCTAGCCAGTTGCACATCTATTCCCTTCTCTCCAGGTGTGCTGCAGGGTACATGACCAGTCTCTGTCACTCATGCCTCTTATCCGTTTAAGCAGATTATGGTAAGGAGAAGCGATCGCCGATTCCCTTGCCAGTCCATAGTCTTTGCAAAACCCCCCAACCCACGTCCCCTTGTCATCCTTAATCAGCCCTCTCACACCTGGTCTTCCAGGATTTATCTTCGAGGCCCCATCTACATTAATTTTAATCACACCTTCACACGGACACTCTTGCTTTGGTGATTTGCTGAAGCAAGAGTGTTTTAACATTTGAATGTTAAATTCACTTTTAAGGAAAGTCACCCAAGTTTAGGCTAAGAAATCTTGTTAGAAATTGTAGTGCCAAACTAGCTCGTACAAGTTTTGTTACGAGAGTTGTGTTTAAAGTTTAGATGTGTTTTCTCTCAACACGATGAATGACTGAATAAGGCCTAAATCCATCCTAGAATCATCATTTTTTAAGAGAAGAAAAGTTTATATCAAATCAGTGACCCCTTTTACTTTGATGGATCTCAATTTCATCACAATAATAAGATCGGTTATTGGAGTATGAGTTATATCTAATTGAAGAGGGCAAAGCTTCTTTCTCCTCTGCTGCATGATATTTCCTTAGATAACTTTAATATTTTGCATTTCGAGACATAGCAATATCATGATGATATTTTTGGATTGCAAAAAAAAAGGTGAAAGCAATCTCGGAATTTGGTCCTTTTAGTATCATTTGTTTGTCATTTATTTATCATTTTGGGTGGTGATGAAGCGGAAGAATCCTAGCTTCACAGTCTAAGTCTAATATGTGGATCCAATTCTTCCCAATCCTTTTCTGCAGAAATATCATTTTAATCAATTGGGATAATTTCAGAAACCTCCCTCAAGGTTTTTAACAATTTCCTTTAGCTCCCTTGATATTTTAAAAATTATACATACCTCCCTTGTCATTTAAAAGGACAATACTACCCTTAAATATTTTAATGAAATTCCCTTGTTTAGTATGCTTATACTAAGAATAGCTTTTAAAATTATTTTTTTCATTCTTTTTCCTCCTTATTCATTTTTTAAAAAATTTTTTGCCAATAAAACTATAGAATTACCACTATTACCTCTAGTTTCCATTGTAATCAAATGTCAAACTAGTGATTTTTTTAATGAGTTAACTTTATATGCAATCCAATGCTTTGATGATCTTTGTTTACTATTTTTTGGTATTAAAATTACCAATAAATAAAAAAGAAATTGCCCAAAATCACTACTAAATTATGATAATCCCACTACTCAAAAAATTCATAAATTCTAAATGAATTATTTTAACATTTTCTTTTCTATTTTATAAATCTAAATTCATAACAAAATACCATAAAAAATATCATATCATAGTGATAAAATTATTATTAATATAGTTGTTTATCAAATAATAGTTATGAAAATTTTAGCATCTTTTCTTTATAATTATACTAGATAATCTTATAATTGTATAGAAAAAATAAATTAAAACTCCTTACATAAGGGTATTTTTGGGTATTCACTTAAAAATTTGACAAAGTCAAATATTATTTTAAGATTTTGTTACTAAATCTATCAAATTCAGAGAGGTAAGTGCAATTTTTCAAACTTTAGAGGAGCTCGGTGAAATTGTCAGAAACCTCAAGGGAAATTTCTAAAATTATCCCTAATCAATTCCTATATACATATGTGTGTGTATAAAGTGCCAATACTCGTTGATGTGACTAATCTCTAGATTAGTAGTTGATCATGATCGAAATAAAAATTTCCCAATTATAAAGCAGTATTAGTAGCCGTGACATGGATTCGCCAAACTTAAATGTCTTTTGCAATTTTCTTTAAAGTGGCTAGGGGTATTTTAATACTACGAGGAATGGAATCAGAAGAAAAGACCACAAAATCAAAGGAAAAAGTAGATATAATAACTCACAAAGAAAATTACTACTAGTATACAACATATTATTATTGTTTGTTCTGACATTAAGATAAGAACAATTGTAGTGGGAATTGCATTTCTAACAAACACATTTTCTTCGAAAATACCATGTTGTAAGTCGAAGCAACAGCTAGTATTCCAAGTCAGACACCTAAAACTCAGCCTGATTCTAGAATCTACATCTACGGTACATGTTAATTACTCCTAGTAATTGATACTAGTAGATGCAATAAAAAGGGCGTATCTGTACATTTCCTAAAATCTGAAAAGGCATCAAATTTGATGAGCTAATTGATGTCTGGATAAAAGAGTCATTTCGCTGCCAGGTTGTGCTACCAACACTGGTCAGTCTCCCAAGTCCGGCGAGTATAATACCCGGAACCCCTGTTGGTGGCCGACAATACATAAGCCGGGCGTCTCAGCCGGAACAACGTCCGGTCATAATCAGCGCGCTTTTCCGCATCAGAAAGAGTCGTATACGCTTTATGAACTCTCATGAACTCGTCGGCAGCCGCTGAAGCGTCCTGGCTACCCCTAGTGCTATTATGAGACGACGCAACGTCCGGATGCAAGACTCTGGCTAATCTCCGGTACGCGGCCTTTATCTCCTGACACGTGGCCCCCATCGGAATCCCGAGAACTTCGTATAACGAAGTCTGGGGAGCAATGTGTGAGGTAGATGTCGATGTCCTTCCGGCAGTGGCGTGAGCTGCCGAAATCCTACTTGGCTGGCGAAGGTGGTGCTTGAATCTAGCGCAGCTCGGGGCGGCACCGGCGAATGTGGAGCCAATGGAAGAAGCCATGGAAAAGTTTGATTTTTTTTGTTTTTGTGAGGAAGAAAAGAATAATCAATAATATGATTAATGAGAGGTGCGGTGATAGGAAGTTGCGGGTTGAGCGTGTGGCGTTTATAAGTTTATTATATAGGGTGTGGGTCGGAGGTGGGATTGAATGCTTTGCTGAGGGGATGGGGTACACAGGACATCAATGCTGACTCAGCCATGCATGGACCGGATTCATTGACTCCGCTGGCGACTAGGGATGGCAACGGGGCGGGGTTGGGGGGGGGACCCCTCCCCCGTCCCCCGCCCCGTTGCCCTTTTCTCCCGCCCCGTCCCCCCCCCCTAGCCCCCCGCCCCCGCCCACTGCCGCCCCTTCCTGCCCGGCGCGCGGGCCCGCGGTCGTTAATAAAATTTTATTATAATTAATTTTTAATTAAGTCAAGTACTAAAATATCAACACATCACCAAATTCATTATTCATTGTAATTTTAAATTGAAACTCATAAAAACAATCAAACAGAAGTTATTTGAATACAATCCAATATGATGAAATAAATATAACTAAAATAGTCAAGTTTTCACTTTTAGTACAAATGCAATCACTAATTCATTATTGTGTTTGTGCTTTTTTTTGAGAAAAAAGTGTTATTCTATTAAGTGTAATTAGAAATTTAGTATAAATGTATTAGTAAATTTAGTATAACTAATTAATAAATTATATTAGTAGACATGTAGAATTATTCATATAATTGATAATATCAATTATATTACATAAACTAATATACATTATATTATACATCTAACTAATAATATCATTATCATAAGTTTATAACTAATTAACTTTACATATTATATATAATTATATATATATTTATATATATATATATATTTTTTTTTTTTGCGGGGGCGGGGCGGGGGATGGGGCGGGGGTATACTCCCCCGCCCCCCGCCCCGTTTCTAAGTGGGGGGAAAAAATTCCCCCCCGCCCCCGCCCCACCCCCCGCCCCAACCCCCGCCCCGAAAGCCCCCCGCGGGGCGGGTGCCCGCGGGCCCCCGCCCCCATTGCCATCCCTACTGGCGACTCTCGATGCGAAGAACAATTCAACTCTTATCTTTGTGTTAGTATATGTCCCACCCAAGCGTAGAACTTAGCTATAGTTGTAGTTTGAATTAATTGTAATGTCAATTGTGAGTTTATATATAATCTTATGAGAAAAAAAAATTAAGGTTTAATGGTCAGCACGATTCTTTCTAATTATTTGCATGTTACCATTTAAATTTAAAATTTGAATTTATAGGAAAAAAATTAAAAAGAGAAGCACAAACATCACAATCAAACTACTATTTTTAAAAAATTGAATTCCCGAAACATAATTAAATAATTTGGGCCGGAGGGAGTATATATTATGTGTGTCGAGATTATGCAGCGTTCATTCAAAAAAAAAGGAAGATTATGCAGCGTTATGTAAAACATTAGATCAACTTAAGTTAGGGGAACCTCTTTGGTGGGTCGGACACTGGTGGATGTTTATATTAGGGCGTTGAGAGTGATAATCGAAATCTAGGGAATGTCTGTTTTCAATTTCAGAACAATATATTGAGTATTGAAATGAATAAATTTGACCATTGTTGCTACTAAATTTAGCGTCTTACTTGTTCTGATCTTCCTATACTGAGATGCAGGTTGTGGCCCAAGACGATCAATGCTTTATGTGAACATTAATACGAGCAGGGGACGAAGGACTTCAGAAGTCGGTGTTTGGACGTATTCCATACGTGTGAGGCTTGGCATGAATTTAGATTGCAGAAACGGATAACAGAGGACACACAAACATGACGTGTGAGTATGGATAATGGATGGCGACGGTGATGCTTGATGTCCAACCTAATTCTGCAACTATTTATTGCTTCTTTTTTTTTTTTTTTTTATTCTCTTATCCTCGGAACGTTTGTGCTTGTAGATCCAATCCAAAGTCACGAATTATCTTACTGGAAAAATTGTTCTAACAAGAATAAAAGCATGAAAGGTTAAGAAGAATTGAAGCTTGTACTCTGGTGCCAATTCCAGCGACTTAGTACTTAGCAGACGCTTTCATGATTTCAGGGGATAGCTTGCGGACTGTCTCTAGTTTTTCATTGGATTCTATTTTGAGTAATTTCCTTTCCATTCACAAGATGGTCGACCAACCCTTTTCGGATGCAAACTTCAAGACCTGAAACTTGTACCTCCAGTTAAAGAAGATTAGATGTTTGTTGTTTTTTTAATCTAGGTAGGTTTGGAGGCCATAAATGTTGGCTCTCTCTTCTTAAATCCATCCTCACTCTGTTATTCTTATTATACTGGAGGGCTTGTTCATTCGATCATGTTTGATTTTGCTTGACATTTTTCTTCTTTGAATCTTCGACTATTCATCTATCTAGCAGAGTAATGAGATTGAAGGAATTCACTTCCTCAAATTTCAAATTTAATTTTATTGTTGGTATGATTTCCATGCTTAGGTAATCAACGACTCCCCCCCACAATCACAGGCCGGTGTTTACGTTTGACCCAGCTTTTCAAAAGAGTTCATTTATGTTTGGGTGGCGCGGCTATATATGCTAATATAGAGAGAGTCCCACACCGACTGGAGGAGAAGCAGATTGTTGATGGGGTGATAAATAAAAGGCCCAGATGGGCGCCAGGGAGAAAACCATGATCCTTCAGGCAGTTTACGGGGATGTGATGAGCGGTCAAAGCTCGCATTTAAACATGCGAGATGGGTGCCCGGCCCAAAGCCTGGTTACGACAACCCGGGCGCTCCCATATTTACCAATCTGATCCCTTCGTCCTTTCTTTCTTTTGCTTTTCTGCCGAGTCCCTTGTAACCGGAGAAGAGAAGGGGCATAATGGGATTGTGGTTTGTGCGAGTCCTTTTTACTTTTAACCCCAGCCCTTCCAAATCCAAAAAACCATTTTTGTTTTTGTGTTTTCTTTTAAATGATTCTTCAATTGGATCCATTCCATCCCATCCAACCCAAAACTTGTTTTTTTTTTTATTTTCCCTTGTTGGTTACAGTCCACGATAATGACTACCTCCTCAATTTGCCAAAACCATTTTTCTATAATATATATGCCTCTTTGGTTTGATCATTTCATTCCAGAGAAAAGATTAAAAATCTTCCTCAAAAGGGATTCTGCACCTTTTGGAAATGAATTTTCAGATTTGATTAGAGCCCGAAGTAGACCAATCAATTATAACAGAACAGGATCAAATGGACGCATATTACTGCACCTGACCACGTAGGTATGAACACAGAACAATTTGACATCACAGAGAAATTAATACAACTTGTGCCCGGGGAACTCAATAGTTTGCCAAAGAAAATGCAAAATGCAACCTGGACATATTTTTTTTGTATATAATGTGTCCAATACAGACATTCCTTTTTTTTTTCTCCAAAAATACGCAACTCCAATGAGTCATCGAAATGATGAACAACACTTTCACATAATCGCCATCACATCATCGCATGTATATATATATATATATATTACCACTACTAATAAGCCTACATATATATAAATATATATATACACAAAAACTATTTTGACAAGCAGGAGCAGAAGAATCAAATGAAATAAAAAATAAATAATGCTCAGCTTTAAAATCTTATGGAAGAGCTCCAAATGAGTTATCTAACCCGTCTAGTATGTCTAAAACATTAGCTTTTGGATGTCCCAACTCTATTCTTGGCGAGCTTCCAGTGCTCCGACTGAGCGCCCACACCTTTTTGCTTCCCTTCTTGGCCACAACGAACTCCTGGCTTTTGCTTCTCCCAGGAACTACTTTTCTCCTTTTCATAACCTCCTCCAACAGGTTCCTGTCTTCCACGGAAAGTTGAGCTCCGTGGACATTGCTGTTGTTGGTTAACACCTCACCCTGCATATTCAGCCCCTTGCGAGTTGGGGACCGGCTTGGCAGAACCTTGGCTCCAGTGTCCCGATACTTTACCAGGCTGATGAGACGGTGAAGCCAAGTCACCAATTCAAGGATGTATGTATCCATCTTCTTTTTATCAGCGTGATACAGTGTCTGCAAGCGAATGAGGCTGGTACTTTTGTTCGTGTTCTTACCAAATTCAGTCCTGCCACAGAGACAAACAGCTTTTCAGTTTCTCGATCCTTTAACAACAATCCAACTATAGCTGGTTCATATAAACAAATTTACTAACCCTGCTGAATTTGCCCACTCTCCAACCCACCCAAAGCCTTGATGCGCTCTGCTTTCATCACAAGTAAGAAAATGCCAGTGTTAGTTTCCAGCCATGCCTACCAACAATCTTGGTAACACCATATTTGAAGTAGTCATACTAATCAAACATCATATGGAAGATTATTATTTACTTAAAAGACGGTCACAGCAGTTCATAACGTAGTATTCCTGACAATCATCTTACATACTTTGTAGTATCTGCAGCAACAGGAACAAGCCACTGTAGAGTTTTTTCCATTTCGGCCTTAATTTGAGGAACTGTAAGCTGCGAAAGAACATATAAATTATGTACATGAAGGTTATGGTTACACGAGAAGTTCACAATTTTCAAGCCAGCGCACCAAACACGAATAAAAACAAGGAAGAGAAGAAAACAATATTGGGAAGTGTGGTCTGGAGGGCAAACCTCTTCCTTGGCATCTGTTGGTGGTAACCGGGAGCGTAGAGCTGTCTTGATGCTGGGAGGCAGCCCATTATACAAAGTATCTCTCATATTAGGAGGAAGAGAGGTCGGGCGTGATGCCTAAAATCCAACATCAACTTTATTAGCAGAAGAGTACCATAAACACAGGCAAAGCACATGGGGATATCACCACAACAAATAAATAAATAAAGTTAAAATTACAAAATAATTATACACACACACACACACACACATGTAGAGAGAGAGAGAGAGAGAGAGACTTACAATATTATCAATTTGAGTAACTAAATTAGCATAATGTAAAGCAAGACCAGCTACACCTAGTCTTTCTGGTTTAGTAGGCTCTCTCCCACTAGCCACCAACCCTGTAATAAAAATGTCGTTAGGCTCTTTCCGATTTATCAATTTTGCAGCACAACAGACAGCTAGGAGAGAAAACTACCAAAAGAGAAAAGGTGAAACGTATTGTAATGAAAAACAGATTATGCCCATTCAAACTGGGCAATATAAATTGTAGATCAATCATAAATTTGATAGCAAAGTATCACATGTAACATCGGTTCTTTTCTTTGAGAATCTTGTGTCCAAGCATGCTAGCATGAACTATTTCCACACCAGAACTAGCATGGAATATTTCCGTAACAAAAAATGAACATGTGAAAATGTATTTTTCATACCATTATCTCCAAATGCATCTGAAATCTCTTGATGTATAAAGGTAACTACATCAACCAGTTTCTCAACAACCTGCAGTGGCATCACACAGGGCAAAAAGAAAAGCAGATGATTAGCGGCACAGATTAAAATGAGAAACTTGGTATATAAAGCAAACAGTTTCTCAACAGGCAATACTCTTCTTTTAAGACGTAAATGTCCTCTTTAGACAATAAATCCATGCTAATGTAAAAGCTGGGTCCAGCAAAGAATGAACATCGCACTCCTCTATTAGATTGCCCAAAAAGGCTGCATTCAGCAAAGAATATAAAGCAAGTGATTTTATTGAATACCTCCTCCAAAGGTTTAGACCACAGAGATTTCTTTCTCAAGGTTCTAACGAGTTTTCTTTGATGTTTTAGCTCACTTTGTAATATCATGAGACTTTCACCTGTGAGACATTTAACAAGAGCAATTATCAGCACTAGTCATCGGTAATGGTAAAGAACAAATTCCACCACATGTATTCTCAGAAATAAACAGAAAATGATTTCACTAAATCGTATCTGAAAAAAAAAAAAGGAAGTAGTGTAATGAGTCAATTTAGGGGAAGAAGCCAAGGTACAAGCTGTTGATGGTACAAGGAGAGGTCTAGCAAAAATAAAAAACATCAATTGAACCTCCAACACCAGATATAGGAAGTAAAGGTTGAGAATGTTTTAGTTGTACACTTAAATTATCACATGAAACAATCCATACCAAAATATATGTGTTACCATTGACATAAACCATGAAATCTCTCATATAATAATCAGGTAATTTGATATTTCCACAGATATTTGTTTTATTGCACAAGTCCAAAAGACACATAAAGCTACAGGCATTGAACAGGAGGAGGACAACAAGTTCTCATTTTCCATTACGCGCCCCACACCCCCCGCCCAAAATGAAAAAGAAAAAAGGATATAAAGGAATAGAAACCCAAGTGAGAGTGAAAACACAAAACTAAACGTGAAAAGTATCCATGCCCAAACCTTTCCGAGGAAGGTGCAAGGAGTCAACTTCCTCAAGCTTCCGACGATAATCTTGTTCAAATCTGTCCAAAGCATGGAATTCATGATATAGTTCCTGCAGCAAAGAAACAGGTGCACCACCCCAAATTAGATAGCAATAGAGACTTCTACTTGGTTCAATAGATTAGGCTCAATTTAAAATGTCTCCTTCTTTTTGATATGATTCAATCACAGAGAACAAACCATGCACAATTTATTTATTGGTATAAAGTAATTTTTCAAAATTTGCTTCATACATATTGGATTGTGTACTCTTTACAGCAAACAAGTTTACAAAGAAATTTTGAATCAAACAAGGTAACAATGCTATGGTGTGTGAATAAACCCTTGGAAACCCAAAAAACACGCAGCAGACGTTATCAAGTACAAATGGTAAGAATAAATCTAAATTGCTGCCCAAATTTTACAAGCATGAAAGATTATCAAAAGGGGTTGTGTTTGCAAGGCAATTGATACCCTGCTATTAGTAAATTGAGAACCCTTTTTTTCATTTTTGTGCCCACATCAATATTACATTGCAAGGCTATTAAACATCCCTCAACACATAAACTTGGTAAGCAGAATATATTCAACAATGAGACAGAATCAAGTTTTGTAACTCTTGAATGTTGCATAGTGAGCTGAGTGTGGAAATTGAATCTTAAGTTTCTAGAACAGGGCAAATATTAGTAAATAAAATGTCCCTTCAAGTTGTTCATACGACTTGTATGCAAAGTGTCTCAAAGGAAAGAAAAACAAACAACAAGGACTAACCATGTTTAGAACACAATTAGTAGCAATGCCATCCAGTTAACAACAGCAATGCAATAAGATGTAAAAAGTATCCGAAAATGAAAATTGAGAACCATTTAATACACTACGAAACTGTAAAACACGAGAACACTCACAGAAGTATGCTGAGCCAGCGATGTCAATTCTTGCATGGTCATTTCTGCCTCTTCTCTTGGTAGCTTAGGATTTACAGGGTCTGAGTCCAACCTAAGACATTAAGACCGTATTAGCAAACAATTTTTTGAATCTTTGACAAGAGAGCCTTGCCAAAGGCTAAAGCAATCCAGCTTACTTTGAAAAGAATCGTCCCAGGTTGTGCCACTGTGGGTCTTTACACAGATCCCCAAATCTAACGACTTCTCGAGAAAAGACATCAAATTCCTCCCTACAAAATGCAGAAGCCAATAAATGACATAAGATTTTTCTTATTTTATTTTATTTTATATTTTTTTGCTCAATCCAGAATGAAGTTCAAAAACCAAAATCTAGAAAATTTGTTTGTGCGGGTAACAATGACCCATACTGAATAGGGGGAAAACATAAACCAGGAAGAAAACTAGAGATCAGAGAGAAGCTAGAAACCTTTTGTCAGTGGCTGCAATGCTGAGCAGCTCCTTCATATCAGTAGAGACTAGCTGTTGTACCCCTTCAGAATGTAGAATTTCCTTTTTCAGAAAGCGGATATTATCTTCAGAAAGGGATTGCAATAGATTTGCTCCTTTGGCTATAGTATTGGCAACTTCAAATGCCAAGATAGCTATTCTGTTCCCTCTTGAAGCCATGCCACCGATAAATCCACTGTTATTTAAATTTGACATGCTAC